CCTAAACCCTAAACCCTATAAATTCCGCAAGGCTCTCTTCAGTGGCACCTCGTCATGGCCGTTGCCGGCAGCATACGTGAGGGGTCGGATCCCCAGCGTGTCCGGGATATTCGGGTCAGCATCCAGCTCCTTGCATGAAGCCCCAACCACAAAACACCCAAACATGACACCCCCCAAACCGAAAAGTTAAACACAAAATCTCGGAAGTTCCACAGGGACTTGAACTTTCTGAATCTGATTCTAGGGTTCTGGGCCGCCTTTCTCTAAGCTTTCGGACACTGATATCTTTCTCGTCCACTCTTCTTGATTCAGGTCGCAAGCGCCCGGCGAACCGCGCCCATGTCGCCCCGACGTGCCAGCGTGAAGATGGCCTTGATTGACAGCTGCATAGGGTCAGACAGTCGAAACCCCAGAACTTCCGAACAACAACACCGACACTACCTATAGTCTCCATCGTAGTNNTTTGGGTATACCTTATAAAATCCTTAATACATTGGTTAAACCAAAAAACGGAACTACAATGGAGACTATAGGTAGAACCCCCATGCACCGCCCATGAGTAGCGTTATCATTGTATATAGCAGCAGCAACTGGAGATAAAAGTCGTGGCCACCGGCTTGTAAACTCCGGCAGTAGCACTTGGCCGTGGTTTTCGCCAACATCCACTTGTTTGCTACATCTTCCGTTCCACTTTGCTGCGGCATCTTCACGCTGCGCAGTGTACCCTAAACCCTAAACCCTAAACCCTAAACCCTTTTCCTGTGCCAGTGTAAATTGGAGTCAGCGCAGTCGCTCTGGCAGTGGCGAAGGTGCAGGGGCAATCGTCACTACAGACGTCGTGCAGTGCCTGGTAAGGCCATGGCTTGTGTGCAAAGTCGTAGCCGTCGGTGTGTTAGATGTACTGATGAATATGGACCGTGAACCCTTGTAGGTCTTGATAAAAAAACACGAAAATGGAAACACGGCTGGCCTCGAAACTACACTTTGAAAGCTGAGAACGGAACCGGCTAGAGACCTCAAATACCGTCAAATACGAGGGTCTTGAACATCAAACTTTAAAATAACCTCTAAACAAGCCAGTACGGAGGTCTTCATGCCCCCCGTGCAACAGGGATCATCTCAGCACAACAGCTCGAAACCTACGTATTGGCGCTATTCAAGCCCCTAAATATCATAAACCGTACACCAGCGCCTATGTTAAGAAACGCCCGGCTCTAGTGACCCGGCGGCCTGTGATCCGAGCATGGCTTTGACGATGCGGTTGAGCGCCTGCCGGTTTTGGGGTTTTTGCTTGAGGCTTCAGGTTTTTAGGGTTTAGGGCTTGGGAATACGTTTTGTTATCTTGGAAACCGTTCTTCATCTTGAGTTGGATAGTTTGTGCCGGTGCCAAAAGAAAAAATCGGCACCGGAAACACTTGAGCTAAGTTTGAAGCTCGAGCACTTGAATTCTGCTGTTCACAGCTCCCAACCGACAGCAACATGCTTTACACAGATACTCCAAAAATCATGTTTGCATATCCGATTAATTTCGGAATTTATGATCGGTGGTGTTGGGGTTTAGGGCTTAGGGTGTTTTAGGGCTCATGGGCTCCTATCCTGCTACTCGAACCGCTGACCAGCGATTAGCCCGTGAGATCCTAGAGGAGTATGCGTTATTGGTATAATTAAGCATAAACCGCATACCTAAAACCCCCAAAAACTATAGGTAAAATACTGGCCCAACAACTAGAAACGGCTAGTATTCTACATACTTTTTTGGGGTCCAGGTTTTATAGGGCTTAGGGCCTAGGGGCGCGCCTGGGGCCCACTGCGCCCGTCCCGGCTCTGAAAGTTGGCGATCTCTCCCATGATCCTTGCACGGTATGCATGGGCAGATGTCAAAGAATCAACGAGAGAAACGTAGGACGCTTACTTGGGTGGGCTCGGTCTCAGGTTTCTTTAGGCTTCTTCTCTCACAAACAAAAACCCTCAACATAGAAACCAAATTATGCGGGGATTGTCTGATGCAACACAACGATCAGGGTTAAGGTCACTACACTGCCATGCCCCAACCCCCCCCCCCCCCCC